AAAAGGGATGAGTTGGTAGTGGGTGCACTATGGTGGTAATACCTTATGGGGGTACCCCAGAATTATCTCAGTTAAAAAACAAAGCATATTTTGTGGGTCTGCTAAACTTAAGCAGCCTGTTTGGCCACCAATATTGTTACCTGCAGTTCTGCATTCCTATACGAGGTCAGAACTGCCCTTCAGAACCAGTCAATCAGCCATAGGCGCCAAACCTTACAAGGTGCCTTTCAAATCAATCTAGAGCAGAAAGCTTGATCACCCTGGGAAGCTGATGATAGATGCATAAACTTACTCCGACTCATACATCATGAGGTATGACCTGGAATGTCCGAGAACCAATGTATGACAAGGGACCCCAGAAGCTGATCAGTGGAATGCCTTGTCGATAACATTAGGACCATGGCTGGGGGTCTGGTTTCAATTACAACACTTGATCATCAAGCAGATAAGAATTACTTGGTCAGTAGACTCATGTCCCTCCCGAAGCCCTACACGACATTCCTTAGTTTCACCCATCCATTTCTCCTTGTCCTCCTAACCCATGTAACGGATGCTGTGTAATTATTCTATCAATAAAAACGGCCAGGATCTTGCTCTTCAGCAGCATCCTGCATATGTAGCCTGCTCCACAATTCCCATTTCTTTATCAGTGTGGTGTTGCCTGAGGCAACATATTTAAAAAAAAAGAAACAAGAAAAAAAGGAGCTATAAAATTTAAGAGGAGGGACACATAGGCAGGACTTGAGTTGTGACTTTATAAGGGTTAGGGTCGTTCATGGAATCTGTAAAGATTATTGAGGAGTTTGGGGGTGAAGACAGATCATTTTAACCCTACTTAATCCTTTTAGTGTGCACATTTTGGTTACCAACCATTTTTATTTGCACTTCTGAGAACTGCTATTTACATACTTTGCCTATTTTTCCAATAGGTTTTTCTTATTGGCTTATGAGGTTACTTATTTTCATATGATATATGATCCAAATATTTTCTTTGGGAGACAGGAGATCAACATGGCGGCAGGGAAATGCTGCGAGTAAGTCCTCCCATAAAAAAAAGTTAATAGGGAGGAATAGTGGCAGGTCCCTCCGAAAACCAGGACGTGGAAGATAAATGGCGACTCTGGCAAACTGCCCAAAGAGGAAAGCTGCCATAATAGAGGACGAAAAGAGAGGAAAGCTCAGAACCCTACTACCCTCGCCCACCCACAAAGCTGGTACATGCCGACCAACAGAAAGAAAAAAAAAAAAAACGAGAAAACTAGAGATCAAGCAGGACTGTGAGTGGAAAGGAACTATTGCAGGCACTGCACCCCTCCAACAGGAACTGTGGAGAACTGTGCGGGAATCTCCACAGAGGTGTGAGAATGGCGTCTGCGCCATTAGAGGAAGATAAGGACTCCGTGAAGAGACCTACAAATAGCCCAAGGCCAGCAGTTAAGCTTGTGTGGCAAAGTGCATACGTGCTCGAAAAGCATACACAAATCACGGCTGCCTAGATCCCTGCGCCTGCACCCTAGGTTCATGGGGAGACACTTGGGAACCGTCAGTGAGGTGAATGACCCTCACTGAATAATCAAAATCCAGGTGTTTGGGCACAGGAGCGGGGTGCAAAAGGCGCTATTTCTGAGGACAATGAACTGGGCGACCGCCAATGTCCCAGAGCTGAAGGCTTTGGAACTGAGACCCGGGGCACGAAATTCGGGGCGTTGGATTCCCAAGGCACGAGGCAGACACATCACCCATTGAGCCATTCCATGATGCCATGGAGCCATTCCATGACACCCCCTTTCAGTTCCCCAGAGACCCACGGGAAAAAAGCACAGCTCTGGAAGGATACTAGGAAAGACCTCTGGTGCCACCTAGCCATCAGAACAAAATTATCAACTTCTTAATAGTTGGAAGTCAGGGTTTCCAAAACCACCCTTGGGCTCTGAGAGGGGGTGGGCCACACAAACAGGGGTAAGAAGGGAAACAAGGCTTGGAGCAAGACCCCATTCTGGAACTGAGAGCTAGGCACAGGATTTGGGCCTGGGACACACCATAACAGTGGGCACTGCACAGGGCAACAGCCGTCGTTTTGGATCTGAGACCCTGAGATTGAGAACTAGAGCACAGAATTCAGAGCATGGGATCAACACAGTCATGGGCACATCAACAGGTGAACACCAGGCAGACACAGCACCCAGCGTGAGCAATAGCCCCTGTGTTGAGGTGCTCCCCTCCCCCCAGGCTAATCTCCCTATTGAACACTGATGCAAAAATCCTCAACAAAATCCTTGCCAACAGAATCCAACAATGCATCAAAGGGATAATACACCACTATCAAGTGGGATTCATTCCATGGGCACAAGGATGGTTCAACATATGAAAATTCATCAGTGTAATCCAACACATCAACAAAAAGAACAATAAAAACCATATGATCATATCAATAGATGCTGAGAAAGCATTTGACAAAGTCCAACATCCATTTATGATGAAGGCCCTTGAAATTCTTGGGATAGAAAGAATATAACTTAACATGATAAAAGCCATATATGACAAACCCACTGCCAATATTATTCTCATGGCGAAAAGCTGAAGGCCTTTCCTTTAAGATCAGGAACAAGACAAGGATGTCCTCTCTCACCACTGCTCTTCAATACAATACTGGAGGTCCTAGCCAGGGCAATAAGACAAGAGAAAGACATACAAGGAATCCAAATAGGGAAATAAGAAGTAAAACTATCACTATGTGCAGACGATATGATAACATAGAGAACCCTAAAAACTCCACAGAAAAACTACTCAAAATAATCAACCAGTTCAGTAAAGTAGCAGGATACAAAATCAACACTCAAAAATCAGTAGCCTTCCTATACACAAACAATCAATCGAAAGAAGAAATCAAGAAAACCATCCCTTTTATAATTGAAACAAAAAAAATCAAATACTTGGGAATAAACCTAACAAAAGAGGTGAAAGACCTATACAAAGAAAATTATAAAACACCGTTCAAAGAAATAGAAGAAACACAAAGAAATGGAAAGACATCCCCTGCTCATGGATTGGAAGAATCAACATTATTAAAATGTCCATCCTACCAAAAGCAATATACAGGTTCAACACTATTCTAATAAAAATCTCAATGACATTCTCAAAGAAATAGAACAAATACTGATGAAATTCATTTGGAACCACAAAAAACCACGACTAGCCAAAGCCCCACTGATGAAAACAAAGGAGAAAGGAGGTATCACACTTCCAAACTTCAAGCTATACTACAAAGTCATAATAATTAAAACAGTTTGGTATTGGAACAAAAACAGACACACAGACCAATGGAACCAAATAGAGAGCCCAGAAATAAAACCACACTTATACGGACAACTGATCTTTGACAAAGGAGCAAAGAATATGCAATGGAACAAAGTTTGTTCAATAAATGGTGCTGGGAAAACTGGACAACCACATGCAAAAAAATGAAACTAAACCACTGCCTTTCATTGTGCACAAAAATGAACTCAAAATGGATTAAAGAACTGGACATAAGACCTGAAACCATTAAATATATAGAAGAAAATATAGGTAAAACACTACAAGACATACAACGCAGTAACATTTTTAAAGACTCATCACCCAAAGCAAAGAAAGGCAAGGAAACATAAACACCTGGGATTACATCAAACTGAAAAGCTTCTGCACAGCAAAAGAGACATTAATGAAAACAGACAGACACCCCACCCATTGGGAAAAAATCTTTGCAATCCAGACAACTGATAAAGGACTGATCACAAAGATATACAAAGAACTCACACGAGTCAACAAAAACAAAATAAACAATCCAGTCAAGAAACGGGCAGGAGAACTTTTCTCCAAAGAGGAAATGCAAATGGCCAACAGATATATGAAAAAATGTTCCACATCCCTTATCATCAGGGAAATGCAAATTAAAACCACACTGAGATACCACCTTACACCAGGAGGAATGGCACATATCAAAAAAAAAAACAAGCAACAACAAATGTTGGTGACGATGTGGTGAAAAAGGAACTCTCCTACATTGCAAGTGGGAATGCAAACTGATCCAACCACTTTGGAAACTGTCCAGAGGTTCCTCAGTCTACTAAAATGGAGCTACCATATGACCTGGCGATTCCACTCCAAGGGATCTACCCAAAGGACACAAAAACATTGATTCAAAAGATCACCTGTACACCTATGTTTATCGCCGCACTATTTACAATGGGCAAAACTTGGAAACAACCCAAATGCCCAAAAATAGATGACTGGATTAAGAAGATGTGGTATATATACACGATGAACATTATTCAGCAATCAAAAAAGATAAACTCATGCCATTCGCAGCAACACTGATGGAACTAGAAGGAATTATGCTCAGTGAAATAAGCCAGAAGGAAAAAGAAAAATATCGGATGGTTTCACTTATAGCAGGAATATAGGGGAACCAAATAAGACATCAGTGTAAAAAAATAGCAATAGTACAAAGCCCAACAAAGCAAAAACAGACAATTATAAATCAGAGACATAGTGCTGTGGAGGAGGAGGGAAAGGGATCAGAGGGAGGGAGGAGCACATGGGACTGAGGTGATGGTGTACAGGTGCTCTGGTGAAGGAAACTCTATGAGGACCACACCTGAGGGGGTTGGGGGGGAAGCAAATATTGCTTAAAAATGAACAATGATGAAAAAAAAATAAATATAAAAAAAATATTTTCTTTGTCACTTTTATCTTTTAGTTTTGTTCTTGGTATGTTTTCATGACAGGAATGTTTATTTTTTATTAAAAGCATTAGTATTTGATTCTAAAAAAGTACCAGATTTGAAAAACTAGTTTTTTAAAATATTATGGCCCATCATAATACAAGAAATCAAAGATTTAATGACAAAATACTCTGAATTTAGCTATTACCATCCAACAGGTAACAGAAATAATAATCTGTGGGCAATTATAGCATTACCAATTTCATGAAGTCTCATGTTGAATTCCATCTCACTCACCCACAGATTTGTCTGCCATGCCCACATCTCTTGAGGTCCAACGACAAAATCCACATGCCAGGTAATAGGCTTTCTTCATGGTGGTCTTGGCTGGATCATCAGGAAGCTGTGTGGAAATACTTGTTGCCCGGGTGGAGAGGGTGTGCATGCATCCAGGACAGTCAAAGCAGTTGGCACATCTACAATAGAGACATTCATTCATTCAGTAAATATTATCAAGTATTTACTATGTGCTAGATATTGTTCCAAGTATTAGGAATTTAAGGGAGGAACATCTCTCAAGCAAAAAGAAAAAAGTACTCCTGACTCTTACAAATTTTGTTTTAAAATTTCAAAAGCATGATACTTATTTTTTAAAAATGCAATCATCACTAAAGTTCTTGAAGAATTAAGAGCCTATTCCATAGAGGGAACCACTGTCAAAAGACAAGAATTAACTGTTTCAGTCTCTTTAGGCTTGTACAGACCACAAAACGCTTAAGTCCTTATACATGACAGACCAATTATACAATAGAAAACTAAGTGGAAACAATACAATAAGTGGTGAAAATGGGTTTGGAAAATAACTGCTTGTTTGCTGTGCCAAAGAGCTGAAACAGTATCAAATAATGCTGTCAAACTTGAGCAGTTTAGAGGCAGGGCATCTTCAGGGCTTTCGAGGTTTTTTTTGTTTTTCTTTCTCTTTAGGCATTACTCTTTCTGGGGCTCAGCCAATATTTCTGCTTCAGGGGCCTCTGTGCCCCTGAAGGTGTTTCGTTTTAAAGTCCTGCCACCTAAGTCCAGTTCTGGACTTGGTCTGAAGTTTTATCCGTAAATCCAATTACCTGTAATATTTTGTTACCTGGATAATATCCTTGAATGAAGTTAGTAACAATACCTTCCTCACATGCATACTTTGAGGATTAAGTGACACAATTCATATGCAGACAGCATAGAAAGCAGTGGTAATGAGGACTGATTTCTCTGGAACAGGAGACAGGTAATAGTGGTTTACATCCATGGAGGTGTAGGGATATGACTGGTTGCAAAATGACTTTCACACCAAGCTAAATGAGCAGTGAGTGCCTATACTACCCAGATCTTGGTTTTTAATACCATTCTCCAATAAAACCAGGGCTTCTTGGAGAAAGGGTTAACTCTAGGACTGAGGCAGAAAACCTACGGGATGAACCTAGAGTGGTACTCAAAGGAATGAACAATTCTCCCTCACCAATGATGGAGGTATAATGTAGGCATACAGGAATCCACTGAAAGAGTAGCCAAAAGCCAAAGTTGGAACAATTTGAAGGAACAATGAAAGTAATATTGGATTACATGCTAAAGTATGAAATAAGTATTTGTAAGCCCATTCTGCTTTTTATGCAAATAATAAGGGAAAGAAGAAAAAAATTTCCATGCTAAAGAATTCCAAATTGATGTAGTTAGCCCTGAGGAGGGCGAGCATAACTCCTCATATTTAAGTGTGGGCTGTGACTGACAGTGATTTTCCTTTCAAAGAGTACATAAACTGTGGAAATGGGGTGGGGGGCGGGGGAGAGCAGAGGGTAGTAACTTTACAGTGGAGATTCCTGACAAACATTAAACTCTGGTAATCAAGGTTCAAGCCAGGTAGTCAAGATTAATATCAACAATGATAAGTTGATGATAGTATGCATCCTTCATATAATGAGATGAGAAATGCACTTTACTTTTGTGGTCCTCCTCCCAAAACTCATTCCCCAGCTGATGAGAAAAAACATCAGACAAATTCCAACTGACACACATTCTACAAAATATCTGACTAGTCTCCTCAAAACTCTTAAGGTCATCAAAACCAAGGAAAGTTTAAGAAAATATCAAAGCAAAAAGAATGGAAGGAGATATGCCTATTAAATATAAGATCCTGGAACAGAAAAAGATTAGGAAAAACTGAAGCAATCTGAATAAAATGGGTTTATTTAATAATAATGTAGCAACACTATTTATTAAGATAAATATGCCATACTATGTAAAATGTTGATAATGGAGACTATAGGGTAAATTGAAATTCTACCATCTTCACAATAATTCTTAAATATGAAACTATTATAAAATAGCTTATTTAAAGAAAATCAAAGGACATTTCATTTTTGGTAAAGGTAATGCCAAAAAAATGAAAAACAGCTCATCAAAAGAGTTAATTCTATGTATTTTTTAAACCAAGTAATTAAAAATAGTTAGGGAAAATAGAAAAACAAATGGATCTCAGTCTTACCTATTCTTTTTTAGTTTGGCTTCAGCCGATGGCATATTTTCTAAGCAACTGGGACAATAATGGGAGTCCACCTAGAAAAATAAATCAAAAAACCAGGAGTAAAGAAACTCAGTTTAGCTTGTATATATGCCTATGCTAAATACTAAAAGTTAAAATGCACTGTGACTGCAGCTCTCTTGCCTGTTTGTGACTATGTAGGTGTTTCTTTTCACAAACCTTTTCCCTTTGCAATACAGGAGTGGCAGCTCTCCTACCCACCTGCTACTATGCAGAGGCCTCTTTTTTCTTTGTCTTTTCAAAATGTTTCAAAAAAAAAAAAATACTGCAATTGACAAAAAACAATGACTGCCAAAGAACCTGAACTTGAGGTTTATTCCTCAAGTCACCTGTTTTTCTTATTATTCAGTTTTTCTGAAACCCTTGTTTTTCCTTTCTGGTCTTTCCTGTTCTCGTTCATCAGGGTTTTATGTATTAGATGGCTAAGTTATCTTTGTAAAAGAAAAACTATTATAATCTATGAACAGGTTGATAACTCAGTTTATAAACCTGTAATCTAGCTTAGCATTCGTGGACAGTAATAACTTTACCACATGTAAATTGTAAGGGAGACTAAAAGCTTTCTCATTACTAAGGTAACAGGCTCACTGAAGAACAGTATAAATTAACAATATAAATTTTCAAATTCAGCTACAGTCAACCAACAAGATTTTTAAATGATAATTAGGTTGGCAAGGTAGAATCTTACTGTATTTAACTAGATAGTACAAAATTTAATTCATTATTTTTAAGGCCTGAATAATTATTTTTAATTTTATTTTATATTTTAATTATTTACTTTAATGTAAGTGAAACTTTCTTAACAGTTCTAGACCTCTAGTCCACTCTAGACAGAAAGACGGACTGACTTGAGCATAAGTACTATAACAGAAATAGGCTTCTTTTTCATCATTTGTATAAACAGGAACCTTCTTTGAAAAAACAACCAAAGTTGCTGCTCAAATAATAATCAGAAACATAAAATACAGTATTGTTAACTAATATTTGCACTGACTTTTCATAAAAGGCAAAATATAATTCATTCCTTCTTCCCTTCTTTCCAGATTATGCTTGACCCTTCATGTGCAGCTCCAATTCCAGGTTCTCCGTGGAACTTTCTAATTAGTTTTAGCCCTCACTAGCCTCATCTTTCCCCAAGCCCTAATGGCCTCCAATTCACAGGCATACACTGCTCTGTAAAAGATATAGTCACAGATGAAACATCCTAGCTGAAGAGATCATGGAGACTGAGCTCCCTCACCACCACCAAATGGGAATCTAATTTAGTAAGTTCTGGGGTGGAGATGGAACAAGGGAGACTCTAAAAGAGAAAGGACCTGCCAAGGTGAGAGAGGTAAGAAGAAAGGGAGGGAGGAAAGGATATTGGGGGAAAATATAAGAAAAATCAAAATAATACAAGAATCTTTTATTACTTAACTGTTTTACTATTCTCAGTATTATAAAAAGTCTCCAATAGGGTTATTACTATTATCAATGTGTTATGTAGCCTATGGTAAAAAAAGTCCTATAGTATAGGACATGGTTTCATATGCATTTTTAACAATCCAGGTATCTTCAATGAAGCTGTAGGAGTTACGCTGCTCGGTTTCTAATCTTGGTTGTCCCTCCCACCCCCAAATTTCTGGTTGTATGACTTAGGACAAACATTATGTCTGCTTTTTAATCTGTAAAATGATTTTTTTTAAAAAAGGTATCTACTCCATTGATTTATAGGAATATTATAAATTAGGTAGAGCATATAACATAAAGTACTGAATAAACGGTATCTATTATTACTATCAGCTTTTCCATCTAGCAGGATTTATGTCTTAACTTGTTTTTTAATTTCAAAAGTTTACTGTTTAAACAACAAGCTATGCCAAGGACTGCAAAAGTTTTGGGATTTTGTTATTTGGTGATTTTTTTTTTTGGGGGGGGGCGGGATTTTGCAGTGTCAGCAATCCAGTGGCTAACGCCCACTTGTGCCTGTGAAGGAAGTGGCTGTACCTTCAGAATTGCCGTGAATATAACAGGTTAAGCTTCTTACAGACCCTATTCTAAGCGCGTTTCATTCAGTTCACCCCATCCCATTCTCTTTCTTGCTACAGGCCTCGGCCAAGAAACAAAACAAGGCAGTCTGATGAGGGCCCAGTTTCTGGCCATAGGGGCAGAACTTCCAGGATGGGAGGGGCAAGAATGAAAACCCCTGTCTTCCCAGCACCCCCCAGCCCCCGCGCCCCGCAAGTGGCCAGAACTAAGCAACCCTACAACCCTTTCTTTCCCACCTACCCAATTAGCAACCCTCCCCCAGGCCACAGCCAGGTCACTAAACCCAGTTCTGCCCAATCAGGGGGCGCTCTACAACCAGAAGATTCGTTCAGCCCCACCCAAGGCCGCACCTCCTTCCCAAGTAACAAATTACAAACAAATTAAATCGCAGGTTAGATGTGAGTGACGAAGACAGAGCCAATCAGCAATTAGGAAAATAACCACCCGCCTCCAACCGGCGGAACTTCCCCGCCGCCCCGGTGACTCGGTTGAACGCCTCTCCCACCCCACCCCCACGACTCATGGGCCGGCTGCGTTACCTCGTGAGACACACATTCCAGCGACCGCAGCTCTTTACAGTAGCGGCAGAAGTAAAGCTGCGAGAGCGGGGCCCGAACCTTCTTTTCTCCCTGGACCAGATAGAGAACCCGCTCCGATTGCAGCAAGGACGCCATCTTGGAGGAGGAGGAGCCAACGACGCTCACGTCTGTCACATGACCAGGGCGGCGCCACCCTCGCCGTCCTCTCTACGTCTTTTAACGTAGCCCGTGTGTTGAGCGTTCCGACCGGCGAAAATCGCAGTGCGCGTGCGCAGCAGGATTACAGTTTCTCCTCGGTGATGGTGTCGCGTCCCCTACCCCCCCCTGCACCTTACTGCGTGTTCACGGCTGGGGCCGAGCGCAGACTTCTGTCGTTAGGTCCGGGAATCACACATAAAATCCAAAGACGTAGTCCTCCCCTTTGCTTTTTGTAGAAAGGAAGGCTGCTCTTGCTTTCTTAACATAGGTTCTCCGCTCCCACCTTCTAGGCAGATATAACGAGAGTAGATACCACATTGCATGCATGGAGCATTGACTTTTCTTGTATTAGTTAACTGCTTTTATTATTATTATATTATTATTTATCTCCCCAGGGACAGAGTTCCATGGGAATTAGAAAGCTGAGTCACGCTAGCATGTTCTTCGGACAGCCTTGCCACCTATGGTGCACAACTTGAACAGAAATTACCTCCTTGCAAGTGTCTTAAGACTGAGTTGCTCCACAAAGAGGACATATCTTTTTTAAAATTTTTTTTAAAGATTTATTTATTTTTATACAAGAACCGGGGTACAGGCCAGATGCCGGGAGGGTGAGCGGATTCACCAGAGACAGAGCCGGGAACAGAACAGGCAGACTGAAGAAATACACCGCTGAGGGGAGTAGTGGGCGAACTGGAGTGGTCTGCCACGCCATGTGGGAGTCTCACCGGCCAGCGGGGACCGAACCCGCGCTGCAGAGGCTGCGGACAGCGTCACAGTGCGGAGCCACCAGGGAGGCCCTCTTTTTAAAATTTTTAAAAAAGATTTATTTATGCATACAAGAACTGGGGTACAGGCCAGAGGTGCAGGGGGTGACAGGATTCACCAGAGACAGAGTGGGGAACAGAACAGGCAGAACGACTGAAATACACTGCTGATGGAAGCAGCAGGAGAGACAGGAGAGGTCTGCTGTGCCATGCGGGTAGCTCCCTGGCCAGTGGGAATGGAACTGGTTCTGCAGAGGCTGCAGGTTGCTTCACAGTGCTGTGCTTAACCCCTTGCCCACCAGGGAAGCCCCACAAAGAGGCCATATCTTCTTCATTTCCAGGTTTCCAATACTTAAAATTAGAGATATGCCTGTATTGTGGATAGTCAATATGCAAACATTACCTCTATGCATACTGCCATCAGCGTTTTCCTTGTTTTACTAATTGTTTAAGGTTTAATTGACAATTAAAATTATTTATCATTAAGGTGCACACCTTGATGATTTGCTATACATTGTGAAATAATCAACACAATCAAGCCAACTAACATATCTGTCACCTCATACAGTTACCTTTTCCTCTTCCTTTCCTTCCTCCCTTTTGTCCTTTCTTTACTTTGTAATAAGAAGACTTAAGATCTACCTACGTAGCAAATTTTAAGTATATTATGCAGTATTGTTAACTATAGTCACATTGTTGTATAGTAGATCGTCAGAACTTATTCATCTCCCATAACTGAAAGTTTCCACCCTTTAACCCAAGATTTCTTGGTTTCCTGCCCCCACTACCCCACCCCCATAATTGGTAACCATTATTCTTCCTGCTTCTATAAGTTTGCCTATTTTATTTACTTTAATGAGTACCATTGTTTTACATCCTTGTTAATTTTTTGACAGTTTAGGATTTTCCCCCTCAGGTGTAGTCACCATAGCTCTCCCACCAACAAAGCACCCATAGTCCTCCATCGCAATACATTGTGCTCCTCTCTCCCTGCTTCCCCATTTTCACCCCTTGTCCTTTCGTCCCCTTCTTTACCCCTCCTGGATACCTCAGATCTATAGTCAGTTTTCAAGTTTGTTTTTTTTTAACTTACATGATCAATATTTTTTATTTTCCCTTCCCACAAACAAGTTTGAAAGTTTCTATTTAGGAAAATAATTTAAATCTGACCAATCAATACATTAGGTCAGCACTTGTACCCACTACTATTAATCTCTCAATAGCTATTACTTTCTATCTTTTACTTCTACATTCTCTTGCTCTGAAGATTCAGGTACCTCTGCATCCTCAGTGCTACTCAATTTCAGGTTCAACCACATCCCTTACTAGTGTGAATAAAATAATTGGTCAAACTGGTCTCCCAGTCTCCAGTCTTGTTCAGTTCAGCTTGCACTTGCTTAAGTTCTTTTTTTTTAAGATTTATTTTTTTTTAAAGACTTATTTATTTATTTATTTATATAAGAACCAGGGCACAGGCCAGATGTGCAGGAGGGTGAGAGGACTCACCAGAGACAGAACAGGGAACAGAACAGGCAGACTGACTGAAATACACCGCTGAGGGGCACTTGCTTAAGTTCTTAATGGTGATTGAGCTGCTCTGGTCTTCAGATGGCTCTCAAATGCCAAAGTCAAGGTCAAATTCCAGGGTCCCATATTTAAGCTAATTTCTGATTCTATTTCTCTTGCTCATACCTCAGATTCTGGTCCAACAGAACTACTGCTTCTGCTCCTAGTACACATTTTTGGATTTTCTACCTCGGCAATGTCTACTCACCTGACAAGTCACTGTCCTCCATGATTACCATGGGCCTGCATTCTTCACTGACGCAAACTAGTGGGATCTCTCAAATGTGCTAGAGTTTCTGTGGTTTCAGGTCCTTTGGAAAGGCTTATCCTTGTCTTGGAATGTGCCTTTCTCCTAATTTCTATTCTTGCCTCTGGCCACCATTCCCCGATAGGTCAATTTCCCTTAATGCCTTTTTCATTATAAAACATCTGTGATAAATATTAACTCTTTTCTCCCAATCTCAGCTGAAGAAATCTTGAGAATGGAGCAAGTTTCAGCTTACCATTGTTAACCCAGAGCCTAGCATAGTACTTATCAAATGAAACCCAGAGTAAATCTATTAAATAAGCAAAGACTCTCTGTAAAAATATTCACTTGCACATTGTTTATAGTACCTAAAATGGAGAAATCATCTGATAACTAAAATAGGAGAAAGATTACATTACATGTATGTATGGTACATATGTACATATGGTACATATAGTGGCATAGCATACAATCATGCTTTCTTTTTGTGGTTGATTTCTGGTCTGATACTTATGTTCCGAGAAGATTCTTGGTATTATTTCAATCTTCATGAATTTGTTGCTATTTGTCAGTATTTGTTTTGTGCTTCACTGTGTGTCAATCCTGGAAACTGTCGCATGTGTAGGTGAAAAAAATGCATATTTTGTTTGTTTGGACTGCAGGGTCCTATAAATTTCTATTAGGTCCATATGTGTTAATTCTTTAACATTATTAAGTTCCCATTTATTTTTTGTCTCATTGATTTGTTCACTGGTGAGGGTGGGTTGTTGAAGTCTCCTACCACAAATGTGTTTTTTCCAATGTTTGTTTTCTTAGTTAATAGTAGTTATCTAATGAAATTTGGTCCTCCTTTGTTTGATTAGTACATGTTGATATGTGTATGTCCTCCTCATGTATTTTTCTCTTAATCACTATGTAGTGTCCATCCCTGGCTTCTGCTCTCTTTTTTTTTTTTTAAGCTGGATATTTATTTTGTGTGATATAAGTATAGCTGTTTCTGACTTTCTTTAGGTCTTGTTCACTTATTGCTTTGTTTCACAACCCTTTACCTTGAGACTTTGTTTACTTTTGGAACTCGGGTGCATCTCCTGGAGACAGCAGAAGTTTGGATTCTGCTTCATAATCCAACCAGAGACTCTGTCTTTTAATTGGTGAGTTTAGCCCATTAAGATTTACAGTGATTATATGAAAGTCTGTTTCTGTCATTTTGTCTGCAGTTTTCTGGTTGTATCTATTTTCTTTTTCAGTTCTATTAGTGTGTTTCTCATTTAGATACTATACTTCCTTTCATTACTTCTGGGGTGGGGAAGGTGTCTAGTTTTTGCAAACTCCTTCAGTTTTTCTTAGTCTGAGAAGGCCTTTATTTCTCCTGCATAGCTAAAGGAGAGTCTAAAGGATATAGTATTCTTGGTTGGAAGTTTTTATCTTTAAGTTTTTTGAAAATGTCTTTCCTGTCTCTCCTGGTCTGCAGGGTTTCTTCTTAGAAGTCCAACATTAGCCTGATCTGGGTTCTTTTGTAGGCTATCTGCTTCTCCCTCACCAATCACAGTCTTACCAAAACCCAGTCACCTCAAATCCAGTCACCTCAAACCCAGTCACCTCAGTCACCTGTTGCTACACCATAAGTCAGTTGTGGCAGTTGTTTACGCCTCAGAGTCCAACAACTGCCCTTAATTCCTGGATCATAGAATTGACCAATCAGATGAAAACTATGAGCTGATTGGTGTTAAATGGTCCAATCAGCCAGAGGAGTCAAAAAAAGTTCCAGTCAGACTTGTGAGGGTGACATCTTGAAAGAGGATATAACTCAGGGCTGGAGGGAGCTGGTAAGAGACTCTCTGTACCAGCCTCCAGACTCTGTTCCTGACCTCTGAAGAAAGAGGAAAGAAGAAGGAGCAGAAGCTGGCATCCAATAGCCAATCTCTGAGGAGGGAAGCGAAGCCAAAGACATTGCCTGAAAGGAGCACCAAAGACTCTGGGCCTGGTGTCACAAAGAGCTGTTTGTGTCTCAGACGCTGCCTCAGGAGGACCAGTAGTCATCATGAGTACTGGCCAGAGCTGTCCTGGTGACAGGTGACTGGTACTCTGCTTGTACTTATGGTGAACACTATCTGGGTGAGATAGCGGGTCACTTGTGTCTACACGAAGCTCTTTGTTTCCTCAGTTTGTAAAGTAAACCCCATAGTTGTTCTTCCCAGAGCTTGAGGTCTCTTGCAATTGTGCACGTGGGTGAGACAGCTTTTCAGTGACTCTTTTGTCTTAGACCTTGGTAGCCATTTCGGCCTATCCTTGTATCCCATCTTCCTGCCCCTGTGGCACCAGTTTCAACAATATTCTTTCTTTGTCTTTAACACTTAGAATTTCACCTCTATATGTTTTGGTGTTGCTAACATTTTTCTTGCCCCAG